CGGAGAACTCACTCAGACGGAGCTTGCAGGAGTTGTGTGTCTCGTCTCTGAGACTCTGCAGGGTTTGAAGCTGAACAGGAGTAGTAACAATAAGCTACTAGAAACAAGTGCGTCGCTTCTAGTAACAAGTGCCTTACTAGTAGTAACAAGAAGCTATTAGAATTAGGGTCATTCACCACGGTCCGAACGTGCACCCGTGTACTCGTCGTGCACTCATCGTGTACGTTCAGCCTCACTTTCCAAGGCAAGCGGTGGACTCGCACCTCAAACAACAAGTTAAGGTGAGGACGGCTCAAAATGCTTCAACTTTGGTTGTTGTGAACGTGGGTGATTCGTTTTTTTTACTTTAGCTACCAAGGGGTACTCCTGTCTACCACTTGCAACTTCCAGTCTTGACCATGCCAGGGAATGTTTGCATCGCCACATCCTCCTGCTGCAGCGCTCTTATTTTGAAGCAGAGTTCAAGCTGACCACCCTCCCCAAGTACCCTCAGTAGTGGAAAAAGTCAATGAACGTTCAGGGGATAGAGGGCCCTCTCATTTCAATACACACTGAAATCGCATCGTTTAGTAAGGCATCCGCAACCTCAACGAGGACGTCCTTCAGACGACGACGGCGAAGTACAGCTGGCCTTCCCCCAGCCACAGCTTCAAGAGGCACAGTTGAGACGGCCGGGTGTGTACTAGAAATAGGGACTCCCCAAAGAACCGCGAATAAACATGAACTTAAAGCCCAGTGGTTGGAATGTCTCCCTATTCTCATATACACTTAGGATACGGTTCTGGATTCGACACCTGGGAATTTGTATTATCCGTTCCATTCGAGGTCCTGAAACCATGCTCTCCGGTCCCGCCACCTGAGTCTTCTCACGGACTCACGTTCCAAAGACAAGGACTCAACGATCCTGCAGAATAACACGCCGTTTAATCACTCAAACTCCGCCTCTTTTTTTTCGTTTCTTTTTTTTCTCGGACATCAAAGGACCTCATCTCGGAAGCCGCGGCAGCCGCTCCGCCCGCTTGTTCCGCTTGCTGCCGCGAGGTCCTCCCCCTCCGCCCGCACTCTTGACGCGCCGGCGGGGCAAGCGATGAGGCGCGAGGGGGGTGCGCGGTCGTGGCGAGGGAGGCGCCGGTCGCGTCGGTGAAATGGATGTTGTGAGCTCAGTCGGTGCCAGGCGCGGACGATTTCGGCACGCCAAAAGCGTTGAACGGTGGAGATGAGACCATTGAGTCCCGATGAGACGTGCATTGCGAGCTGCCCGTGGGTCCAAAAAGCCCCAGACATACCTAGTGAAAGCTTTTTCAACAGTTGTCAAATATGTCACATGTCTAAGAAATGGAACTGAGCGTCGGTTTTGACCCATAGCTAGCTGAATTCGAGGAACTTGACTGTGCGAAGATTCATTTGGACTGTACGCCCAAGGTGTATCGTCAGCAGCATAAACTGAGTGCTTTTAGAGAAGGAATGGTTCCTACTAAAGCCCTCAAACTCTGAGACCTTGCTTGAGCTGTTGATACTTTCCGGCTTGTTTCGTCTTCTGTGGCTGTGCACTGGCCCTGTGGCTGCTTGGAATTCATGGTGGACAAACGCGATTTGTCATGCCATCAAATGTTTGATAAGAGTCGCACACCGAATTGGTGGTCCTCTGCGAACGAGCACCAAACCAATTCACGAACCCAGACAGAGGCTGAATAGCTTCATTGGTCTTTTTCTTCCGAATGGCTTTTTGAAGGAAAGCTTTTGGATGTTTTTTCGGACTGCCAGAGGCAAGGGCCGAACTCGATGGCTGCAATGAACACTTCACAAAACAGTTTGGGATGGCTGGCTCTAGGCTTGCAGGAAGAGTTTGAGGCCCCAAAGGGCGTCTATGAAACATGCTTCGCTTATGATTGACTGCGCTTGTGATGCGGCGTTGTCCTGCACTGCTGGCACTGCTGGCACTGCTGGCACTGCTTGCCTGCGAGCCAGGTGCTAAATCAGCTTCAGATGCTGGCAAGGTCAGAGAGCTGTATGACCCACGGAGTCAACTACATGGACTGACGGAGTCAATGTCTTTGGGGGGAATGCTCAAGTGACCAATGGGATGAATGGAAGGGATGCACCTCTAGGTCGGTAAGAAAGCAGTAGTTTGACATGTGGTAATCGCAGTCAGCTCCGTCGTTCATGCTCAAAACCTGAAACAAGACAATGAAGGACATGAAGGAGAAGCTTCGCCAGATGAACAAAGATCAGGCTCCGCCGATGTTGTCTCAAAATTCTGGTGAGGCAGCCGGACCTTTTTTTTTCCCTCTCTGATGATCTGAATGGTTTTTGAGCGCCTAAAAGGATGTTTTGATTGAACACCTGATTGAACGCCTATAAGCCTGTGGCCAGGAGATCATGCTGAGCACGTTCGATGCCTGTAGCTTGCATTGGATTGGATTCGATGTCCGTTCGATCTACGGTGAGCCTGGAGATTGATGGGAGTGAAGAAGAAGTTGTGGGCAGAGCCGAGGCGGCTCAATGTATATAGTTCAAGGATGTTTTAGGTGCATTGGTATATACAACTTGCTGGCAAGTCAGACGTGTAGTAGTTGTAGATCCAAACTGAAAGACACGCGCCTCAGAGAAAAGGATCAATACAGCAGACTATCAAAGCTGTCCGAAATCTTTTGCTTGAATCCTTGATCTGGTTCTGATCCGAGAGCAGAAGACTCGTTCTCTCCAAAGGTCCCATGCTGCGTTCCGTATCCCTTCGGCTCTTCCGACCCCTCCCCTTCGGCACTCCGCGAAGCGGACTGTTGACTCCATAGTTGCCTGAACCAACTTCCAATCAGAATGAGAGAAAAGGTCCACGTTTCCTCCATCTTGCCTGCTGAGTACCACGACCTCTTGACTTCAACTGATGTCACCGAACCAGTTCGACCCAGCCGAACAAGCTTGTCTCGGCGCGCCCGAGGCAAGCGGCTTCTGAACACCTCCGAGAGCAAAGGGCTTTCGTATCGAGATCGCCTTGAGATGGTGCCGAGCTCAACGCGACTCGACCGAAGCGGACTGCATCCTCTTTTGTTGCCGAGTTCTTCGTGGACCACTCCATCATGGGGCTCCTGGTGCATGAGAACTACTTGAACGCAGTGTCCAAGAAGCTCAAAGCTTAGGATCCTCTTGTTTGTATGGAACCGAGAGACGTCAAGACAAGTCCCTTCAAGATTTCGCACTCAAAACTAGGTGATTTCGTTGGCAGTGATTTCTTGCTCTTACGGGAAATTGTCACGCTGAGGCCCTGTGACGATGCGCTTTTGACGAAGTCGGACCCCAAGTTTCCGGGGGTGCCGAAACATCGATGATCAACCAGTCAATCTCCAACCTAAGAGCGATGGCCTCCAACCTACTAGCGATGGGTGATTCACCAACTCAATCTCCAGCTGTGGATCAGGTGTGCACAGTCTGCCGAGTTGATGGCTTATGGCGATGTCATTGGCGGCCGGATCCGGGACCAGCAGGACCCAGCCAGACACCTGATGGCAGTCGATGTGAATCTTGTTTTGGTGGCGGAAAGTAGGGGCTTGGCGGCCAACTCTGATCGTTGCAGGAGTGGAGCTTGCTTCCTGACTTGGGCCTCTTCTCGGCCGTTTATCCCGCCTTCTTGACCAACGGGCCGGGGCCTTTTTCTGGTCGTTGAGTGCTGTGAGACCGTCGGGCGGTCGGCGGTTGACAGTCCGCGACACGACTTCTGTCGGTTCCGCGTCACGATCGAACTGGCGGTTCCAACGAAAGGTTCGTGGCTTTTCCAAGCTTTCCAGCCTTCTTGGGCAAGTACTCCAGCCAGAGCAGGACCAGTTTGGGCGTACAGTTGGTGTAAAGTGATGGTTTGTGGCACTTGTGATTCGTGATGTGACTGCTTGGGCTGGTTTCGGGTATGGTCCAATCTGGGTCGGGTGAAGAGGCCCATGAAATGAGGCCCGTGAGGTCCGTGAGGTCCGTGGGGCCCGTGGAGCCCGTGGGGCTGGTGGAGTCCGTGGGGCCCGTGGAGACCGTGGTGGGGAAGATTTAGATTTTAAGAAATCATAGAAGCTAGGATGTGCAGGTGATGGTCTCTAGTTTCCTTTGTCGACGGGCCCGAACAAAGTAGCAGGTTCCAGGCTTGAGTGGGAAGCGCGCGTGAATGCACATGCCAGATTTGATGGGGGTAGCCACCGCACATATCAGCCTCAATGTCGCAATACACGCCAGAACATATGCCGCCAACACAAAAAGATCAACAAACAAAGGACAAGTTCAATCCACAGCCCCGAAAAGCATAGGGAGAACACAGCTTTTACCATCCTAGCCATTGCAATCTCACACAACATCCCACGTGCATAGCAACGCGCAATGGCAAAATCACCATCGCCCGTGGCTTTTAGGAGCACGGACACAAGAAGCCACGGAAAACACAGAAGGAGAAGACAACTTTAACAATCGTAGCCATGGCAGTGCCACGCAACTTCCCATCATCACAACACCATCTCCTGCGGCTATTTCAAAACACGGACATAAGAAAAACTGGAACCAAAGCCACGAAAGAACATACGAGGAGAAGACAACTATAACAGTCGCAGCCATGGCACAGCACCTCCGCTGAACCTTTGCCATACGATAACACAGACACCATACCTTTGCAGCCCGTGGGGCACGTGAGGCCCGTGGTCCCGTGGTCCCGCGGATCCCGTGGGGCCGTGTGGCTGCTGGGCCCGTGGGGCCCGTTGGCCCGTGGACCGGCCAGCCCGTTGGCCCGTGAGGGCGGGCCCGTGGTGGGCCCGTGAATTGGATTGGACCCTTCCCGTGGCTTTTTGAGTGTAGTTCAATGGAAGGTGAAGAAGAATATGAAGAATATTTATTTGAGTATCAGGGCTGTTCTCTGATGCAGTGCTTTTGGATGTGTTCTTCTTTTCCCCGCACGCTTTTTGACAAACATTTTGTTTTACTTGGATCCTGCTTGAGATCCAAACTTCTTGGGCACTGAGTTCACTGATGAAGATATGGGTGCACTGAAATCACTGATGAACACGTTTCCCGGCTCTGGCCTAGAACGAGGCTCCAGGAACTCATCTTGGAGCCCATCGCCGCCGTTCTCACTGAAGCTTGGCGCCATGGCGCAAGGCCTGGTGGCCGCCCTGCGATTGGGATACATCAGCTTTGCAGCAGGGATCTACACGAACAATCCCATTTGCATTAAGAACAATTGCGCCTTGGCGAAGACTTTCTGCCTCTTTTTGGGGAAGTCTTGTGGGAGTAGAAGTCCTGTGTGGAGAACCAAAATATACACACACATATACATATATATATATATAAGAAATAATCTAAGAAATCCATGATGATCGCCCGCAGTGAAGATCTCAGTGATCTCAGGCATCAATCCCATCTTTCCCGGCTTGGAGGACCTCCATAGATTGGCCAACACCACCAAATGGTATTGCACCAGCATGGAGGATACGGCCCTGGCCATTGGATTCTGCAAGGGAGCCGTGAATTACCACATCGCCGTCCCTGAGCCTCAGGTCCCAGATGAGTCCAGCGTCCAAGCGCTGGTGCGAAAGCAAGACCGGGCGGCGAACACCGCCTACTTCGCACACTTGAATGGCCTGGGCAAGGATCCGTGGGAGCATCCGGATCCCGAGAACTCCGACGATTGCATCCGGAGCATTTGGAAGATGGTTTGCTACACCTACTTTCCTCGAGCTGAACCTGGCTGTGCGCGTGGAAGCTTGATGGAATACATCCGACCGTGCCAGAGCTCATGTGCCAACTACATCAATGCTTGCTCGGTGGAGTGCTGCGACGAGTCGGTGCAATGCGTCTTTACTCACCAGAAGAAGCTCACGAAGACCACGGTCTTGGCCACCTCCGGGTATGAACCTCATGATGGGCCTTCATCCTTCTGCACCGGAAGCGCACACCGCAGCGGTGGTTTTGGTCTGGCTCTTCTCCTGGCTGTCTTGAGCTCCTTGAGCGGCGAGACCTTCGGCTTCCGCTTGCGGTCGCGGCCCAGCGTGGTTTCCTTTGCTGTGCTGGGCGTTTTTCTTTCAGTGGCTCTTCAAGGATGTGATTCAGCCGTGGTACACAGCATTGGGAATTGGAGGCAGGAGGAAGATCATTTGGTGAAGTTCCAATTTGTCCCTCCAGGTGCTTCTTCCAAGGAGGCCGTGTTGAATTCATGCTCGCTCCCTGGCCTGTCCCCAACGCTGCAATGCAGCGGACACGGTGGGTGTCATACATGGGAAAAGACGGCCGATGCCAATCCGACCCAGTTCTGCTGGTGCGATGCGGAATGGGCGGACCCCGAGTGCCGCACGCGCCGGAAGTCGCAAGTCGTCGCCTACCTTTTGGCCACCTTCCTGGGAGTGGTGGGTGCCGATCGCTTCTACTTGGGCCTGGTGCTGTCCGGATGGCTGAAACTCCTCGCGCTGGGGAGTTTGACGGTGTTTTGGATCACGGAGGTTCTCATTACCGGGTCTGCCCCGGTGAATCTCAACAAAGACCTGCGCAGCTGGGGTGGCTTAATGAAAGTCCTCACCTTCTTGGCACTGGGCAGTTCCTTGGCAGGCAGTTGGAGTTGGCGAAGTTGGAGACACATAGACATAGACGCAGAGGTGAGAAGTTAAGCTCTTATACAATGTAGACAATGTAGTTTTTATAGGCAGCAACAGAAGCTGCAAGCCTAAAAAAGCCCCACCAGGATTTTTGACACCAAAGCAACAGGGTATTGCATGCCCTTGTTAAAGAGGTCAACTGAGGCTGCAAGTGGCTGCAAGCTGGATGTTCCAAAAGGAGCTACCAGTAGCAAGGTGCATCGAAACGCTACTAGTAACTAGTAGCAAGAGGAATTCGCATTTGCTCCAAAACAATGCTTTTGCTTTGCTATGCGCAGAATCCTGTGGACCCCGGCCTTACCACAGCAGCAATGACCTCTGACGAGACTTTTTGGAATGGACGTGCAACTCAGTGCACCACCAGGCACTGTCCCCATACAAAAGCAAGAGAAGCCCCAAAAGCGCCGGGCAGAGCTTCTCCGCCCAACGCCGTTTTCCCGTCCCTTCACGTCCCTCACGTCCCTCACGCACGGAAAACCCATGCACCGCAGAACCCTTCCCGGCGCGGCCGTGCCGGGAAACCCCGCCCGAGGCTGGTACTTCATCGACGTGATCCGCACGGGTTCCGCTCCGGTGGAGACCAACAGCTTCCGCACCGCGGCGGATCTGCCCCGCGAGGCGCGGCGCGCGAGCCGTTGGTGTGGTGCTTTTTTTTGCGTTGTGCCAGAAGACCAAAGGGCTCCAAATGGCCAGGGAGTTCGGATTCTCTGGATATTACATGTACCTTTCACTACGTAGGATTCGAGTTGGTGTGACGTGTGCTTTTAGGCCTTCGTGGCTTGCACTGTGGACGCCCCAGTGATCACATGCAATTGCTTTGGTGTCAGCCATGGACACAGCCCAGGTCTTCCTTGCAATGATTGCTGGATTCCTCTTTGCTGGATGGAGTGTGTCACATGATGCTTCTTGGCTGAAATACTATGAACAGATGATGCTCAAATACTGTGTCACTAATAGATGATGAACACACTGTTGTGTGCGGGAACGACTTCTTCGTTGTTTAGGTGGCTGCCAAAAGACGAAGCATCTCTTTGATGCAGAATGCCTACGCGTCGCTTGGCACAATACCGCCATATGCCACGCACTGCCACGCTGCCTTGTCGCCACGCTGGACTTGGCTATTCCACTTCTGTATCCTTAGGCAAGAAAAGGCAGCTTTGGATGCAACAGTGATGACCACAGGCCCGAACTTGCTGTGGTTGGCCAACTTAGTAGATCACTCTTTTCCTGTTGCCTTCGTTTGAGCTCGTCAAGGCGCCGCACCACAGCGAAGCTATGGATCCTTCTGAGGGGACACAGGGTCAAGCAATTTGACCACGCAACTGCCAAAAAAGGAGTTTGTTGCAAGCCATCCTTCGAGGCTCACTCAAAGTTCGGGATTTGGAACTTGTCCATGATTTTGCTCTGAAGTTTTGTCTTCATGCTTTAAAACAACTTCTTCAGATGCGTCTCGTCCAGGATGAGACGTCTAGCCACAGAACTGCAGACACACTTGCGGATGTCATCAACAGTGAGGCTTGAGAGTTTTTGATACATCAAAGAGACATTGGTTTTGCTTGGGCAAAGGGCAAGGATTTTTTCCGCGGCCTTTGGAACTCACGTTGCTTTCCAGTCGGGCATCCTTGTTGACTTCACCGTACGCAGATCTCTTGTACAAGGAGACTGGGCCGACCAATCAAACGCAGACGTCCATTTGCGGGGTTGAGGCAAACACCGGAGAACACTATAGGAGGCAAGAGGTACTCTGTCTGTCTATTCTTTTGGGTGCTTGACCTAGGGCTTTGGTTTTGACTCAAACGCATATGCGAATGTGTGTGCAGAAGCTGACGAAGCCGCTTTTGGATGCGGGAAGTGGAGAGCCAGCACAGGCTCATGGGTATCCATGCTTGCATGATGCAGATGGGTTCCGAAATCTTACCCGACATTCTACATGTTTTGGTGTGGCTTGCGAAGAGAGCAGGCTGTGAAGGACACAGTTGGATTGCTGGATGCTTATGGCTTGCGGAAGGACCTTTTGATTCAGACAATGAGCGTTCATGTGTTGCAGGGGCACCGGACCTGGTGCCTTTCTGTTGTGGACAGGAGCACTTGGTCGAACATCTCACGGAACTCAGGCAAGGGAAGCAGATGACAGAGGGTGTTGTCTCCATTGCAATGGCATTTTCTACTTGCTTGATTGTTGGTGGACGCGAGCAGATGACGGTGCAGCATGGTGTGCACATTCTGTGCCCTTATTGCTCAAGCTTCCTTTCACCTCGTCCGAACAAAACGAATGGATTGAACACAATTGAAAACAAATGGAGATGTCGGCAGTGCCAAGTCCTCATGTCAGGCGAGCTTTGGACAGAGCGATTCAGGCAACCCTCCCAATACAAAACGCGGATACCCGCAGATAGCAGAAAACTCGGCTCCAGTGCAGTCAAAGCATCAGCATTCTCTCAGCCAAGGTTGTGATCTTTTCGCATCATCACCGGCATCATCATCATCATCATCACCACCACCACCACCATCATCATCATCATCATCATCAGCATCATCAGCATCAGCATCAGCATCAGCATCAGCATCAGCATCAGCATCTCTGTCTTTGGCCTTCTTTGCTAAAGTGATGACGCTCGCCCTTTTTTGACTTTTCCAGGTCCGTGCCCCGATCCGAACGGAGCCGATCTCGGTCCTTCCCCGATGTCGGAGCCACGACGGAAGCCAAGGTCCTTCTCCAGATGAAAATCAAGGTTGGGCTTCAGCTTTGTTGTCTAACATGGGGCTTTGGAAGCCAAGGTCTTCCTCCACTAACACCCTGGCTGTCTATGGTGTGTTTGCATCTTCTTGCCTGTCACAGGTCCTACAGCGCAGCCAACAGGACTCCGACACGAGCTGATTTTGGATACGTGTACAGTCATTCTCAAATAGATTGAGCATAGACCCCACTCAAACTGCCACGATGCCATCTTCTGCTTCTGAGGATGACTAGGTGCTAGCTCTTTGCTGCTGTCGCTCTTTTTGCCGCACGTGCAGGACTATTTGGGTGCCACATCCAGTGACATCACACGTCACTTTCGAAATGCGGACCCGGACTTGCATCCTTTCGAGAGAGCCAGAGAGTACCAGCGAGCCCTCAAGGCTGGGATAGGGAGGGGAGGATGGGCCGTGGTTCTTCAGAACTGGCCGAACTGGCCGTCTTCATCACGTCAGGCCGTAAAGATGGAGAAGATCTTCGCGAAGCCCTTTGTGAAGGTGGCTCCGTCCGTGTCGACTTCGCCTTTTGCATGATATGAATGCATTTCTCGACTCAGTGAGCCGTGTGCTCCACGTCGAGCGAGCGCTCGGCCCTGGTTAGGCCTTGGAGGGGCACACCGATTCGGTGAAGTGTATGGCCATTGCGCGGAAAGGCGCGATGGGCTCAGATGTCCGAAGTGGACCCCTATATTGGGCTGAGCTGCTCAATCGAAATCTGGTTTGAAGGGTATATTATTGGCATATTGAATATGAACCTTAATGTGTTGAGCAGAACCGAGGCTGCACCTTTGCTGCAGGACACCTAGCAGAAAGAGCTTCGTCCCGACCAGAAAATCTCTTGCAGATGTGGCGACGGTTTTTGAGGTCAGGAAGCTGCAACGGCGAGTTGCGCTTATGGAACATGTGTGAAGCTTGAGTTTATGCTTGAGTTGTGTGTGAGTTCGTGCCTTGCTGCTCGAGCTGCTCTGAGGCAACATCTCATTTGCGGGAGTGCTGTGACCAAAGCTCATGAGGCAAGTAAGATGAGAAATGCGCTCTTCAAGCAATCAAAAGAGATGATGAACAAGACATGAAAAGAAGGTAGGGCCTGGTAAGTGGTAAGCCTGGTGGCGGCTGGGGCCGCACCTTCCTTTTCTATTGTTTTTTCATGTTCTTTTCGCTTGGAGAAGTTGTTCCATGACCAGAACCGACGCCGCGTCGCAGGGCTTCGTTCGTGGTGTGACCATGAGCCCGGATGGACGATTGGCCTTCTCCTGCGGAGACGACAAGGCTTTGAGAGCAGCAGAAAACATGTCTTTCTCCGTTTTCGCGTTTTTTCTTAATTTGGCAGCATTTTTCATGGTATTGATGGGGTTGTCGTGCGTCATCATAGGTGCCATGGTGCCATTTTTGCTCCAAGTGAGACATCTGAGGCTGCAAAGATGTGGAGAATCCAAGCAAAGGCTTGCGAGATATCCGAAGAGCCAGAGGTGACTTGACTTTTCGGGCAGGGAGCCTGTTCTCTTGCTTGCTCCTGTCCCTTCCAAAGGCTGTATATCACATGGCTTACATACCTGGAGTGCGGGACTAAGACACTGTCTCTGAAATAGACATGGAGGTTCAAGTGAATGTCGTTCTCTCCTTAGGCCATTGATCACCACTGGCAGAAGAAGATGTTTGTGACCGTTGGCGATACGGCCGCGTTCCGGCAAATCTGGACCGATATATCGTTCGGATCCGTTCGGGTCTTTTTAGCGATCGAGCAGTTTGGCTTTTTGTAGGCTTAAGGTGTACAAAGTGTGTCACAAGAGATGAGGTCAAGCCGTGGTATTTGAATGTATTCGACAATTGATCAATCATTTTTGATTCAACTGTGTATATATATAAGTTAAGGACCGGATACTGTAACCCCACATGTTAAGCTTGTAAGAACTATCAACGAGAAGTAGAGACTGATAAGGAAAGAGGACGGAAAGATACTGGACGATAAAAGTGAATGAGATGAGTGGTGTGTGGTGAGTGGTGTGTGATGAGTGGTGTAAGATGAGTGGTGTGTGATGAGTGGTGTGTGATGAGTGGTGTGAGATGAGTGGTGTGTGATGAGTGGTGTAAAATGAACGTGGTGTGAGATGAGTGGTGTGTGATGAGTGGTGTAAGATGAGTGGTGTGTGATGGGCGGTGAGCGATGAGTGGTGGGTGATGAGTGGCTGCCACACGAAGGGCCAGCGGCGACCGCGCGTCCATCCAGTCCTCCTGAAGCAGGCAGCCGCGGGCCAGCGGCACCCGATCCTCCTGAAGGCTCTGTGTACTGCGCCTGCCACGAAATCTGCACTCCAGGTTCACCAAGTGCTGTGCCTTCCACGAAATCTGCACTTCGAGGTTCACGTGCGGAGGCTTGACGCGTGAGTTTTGGAGGACGCAAGATTGTCCCACAAGAGTCCCACAAAAGTTTTCGGCAAGAGTGTCTCCTACAAGAGTGTCTTGATAGTGTCCCAGAAGAGTTTCAATCAATTTTTGGCCTGTTGTTTTTGAGTGTGGGTGCGGTGAGACGTTGCCTGCAAGGAGTAACAATTTGGGTGGTTTTTTGATGTACAGATTGGTCTTTATATTGGTGTTGCAAGAAGGCGACGTGCATGAAGACCCGTCGCCCAGGGGCCGGGACCCTCGCGAGAGCGACGGAGTTGTGTGTGTGAGGAGTTGTGTAAGACGAGTTGTGTATGATGAGTTGTGTGAGATGAGTTGTGTGAGATGAGTTGTGTGAGATGACAATGAGTGGGATGTCATGAGTGGGATGAGATGAGTTGTGTGAGATGAGTGGGATGGAAGAGGGACGGAGGACGGCGGACGTGGAGCGGCGGGTGCAGAGCGAAAAACAAGAACGCCGCACAATGATGCGGGGAAAAACCACCATCTTCTGTTCGGGAAGGGTGGCCCCTAGTGGAATCGAACCCGTGTAGCTTCAGAATTTGCTGAGCCACAGGTCAGTCACGTCGTCCCCTTTGCAACTATGACCGGCACGACGTGGTGGTTTTCCGTCGCCGTCGGGTCACCGAACGCCGACTGGTTACGCCAAAGGTCGGAACGTTCAACGACCGGTTCACCGGAGCTGGCCAGCTGGTTGATGAATGCCAACTGGTTGGTTAGTCACAAGGTCTCCCCACTGAAGCTTGAAGAACTGAAGCAGCAACCCCCAAATCCTTCAAAGCCGACAAAAACAAGTCTCCTGAAAGCCATCAATCTCGTGGAGAGCGAGAGAGAGAGAGAGAGAGAGATCGAGAGCTACCGCCTGGCCTGTGCGTCAATCCAAGTTCGCCCGGATCCGTGGGAAGGACAGGGGTTTGTTTGTGCACGCGGAAATCGGATCGTGTGTGCACGCGGTGACGGGGATCGCTTGTACACGCGGGGATCGTTTGCACACGCGGCTTCCGCATGCGGGTTGCCTAAACAGTGTGGCCATAGTTTGGGTTCTTACGGTAGGTGCAAAGGCCGGGTGTTGATCCAGGGTGCTCAGATGTGTGTGAGGCCAGTTCGCTGGTATTTATGGTGCTCTGACTCGACTTGTTCAAAGTGCATTTTGACGGTGCAAACTTGCAGAATCTGCTGGGCAGCGACGTGTGCTATCTTTGAGTGTGCGACGTGTGCTAGTCGAAGTGAACGTCATTAGCCCCACCCCATGTGCCCTGTGTGCGCAGATGATCCAGATTTGTGTGCGCAGATGATCCAGATCTGTGTGCGCAGATGATCTTGGCTGTGTGCGCAGATGATCCTGATCTGTGTGCGCAGATGATCCCCTGTCCCGTGGGAAGCTTGCAGCGGACGCTTTCCATTCTTCTTACAACTCAACAAGAGAAGCATCACGAGTTTATCACCTCATCACCCCAACCTCATCACAACCTCTCAACCATTCTCAATCCCAAAATGGCTGCGATCGAGCAGGTGAGTGACTAAGGCTCGATCCAAACTAAGCGGCAGCTGTTCAGCCAAGGCGCTCTCACTGGCCTGCTCAGAAGCGTGCAGCAGCAGCGCCGTCAGCGGCTGGCTATCATCCGCAGCATCTGGCGCCAATGTGCCATGAGCATTCGCCACCGCTTGGCGAGTAGCAATGACAGGACACCAAATCCCTTTTGGCCTCAGTGTATTCGCCCAAGATGCGAGTGTGCAAAGTCTGAAAGGCATTTGGCGCCAGGTCAGATTCGCAAAGCATGCAGCTGCTTCAGCCTGTGCATGGCCATCCACCCACCATTGTTCAGAGGGACCCGAAATCCAATCACCTCGAATCCATGCCTCGAAACAGAGACGGTCAACGGTCGTCCTCGCCATCAACTGGGGCGCACCTCCCCAGTCGTTGCCTGGATGGGAGGTCCCCGAGGTCGACGCGCCGTCCGAGGTTGACGTTTGGGACTACAGCCGGTCCACGCCCGTGAGCTCCTTCGAGTGGGGCTGTGAGCGAGTGATCACCGTGCGGACGCCCGGCCCGCGCGAGAGCTGCGAGAGCGCGAGAGGAAGGCATGTAGAGGTGAGTTGGTGTTGGTGTTGCTTGGATGACGGTCTGGTCTTTCTGGGGGAACTCCCCAGAAAGTATCAGTCGGCTTGGAAAGATGTCCTTCTGATGTGTCCACTGGATGTTCAGTGTTTCAATCAGTTTGACATCGTTTGACCTTAAACTTGCCCATGAGAGGGAGGAACCAACTAATACTGTATTCTCCATCATTCTCCCTACTTTGCGGGTCTCAAAACTGTAATACTACAACCCCTCTTCTGCTAGACCCCTTTGGGTGATGAACACGAAGCTACACGCCGTTGAACCATCGAACTTCACCCAGCACCGATGAACCCATCGACCCACCGGGCCAGCTCCGTCTCTGCGACGCTCGACCCTTCGGCCCCGCGCCAGTCTCGCTTCAACCCGGCCGAATCGGCGCTGCTGGCCTCCACGGCCGTCGACCGATCCGTCGGCTTGTATGTGGGGGGGCCTCAGGATCCGAGGATCCGAGAGGTGTCCGTTTGGGGACTGAAACAGTTCGTGCGACGAGACCAGGTCACTACGCTGTTGGGGGGGGACAGATCTGGAGTGGCACCTTTTCTTCAGGACCTGCGAGGCAATGCTCCCATTCGCAAGGCGGGCCGCAGGGCACCTGCCTGCCTGAGCGCAGCCGTGGCGCGACACCGGGGCGAGCGAGCGGAGCTGGGCGGCCAGGTGATCCTGAAACTTCGGTCGAATGGCATCTGCTGGAATCCCATGAGGCCGATGAGTCTTGGTCCCGAATGGAGCCAGAAACACTGTCGGACCTGGACACTGATGTAACTTATATTGTAAGTCTTGATATATATATATATATATATTCGTCTACCTGTACTTATGTATTAGTCTTTTCGTCTTTTTTTCATTTAAAAGGTATTCTACCTTTTTATCGCGGCGAAGTGTGGTATGGTCTTCATCGTCTTGCTGTTTGAAGGTGCTTGGAGTGTTTGGATGTCCGTCTAAGGAGCTTTACAGTGGCGAATGAGGATTGCAGCCTCTTGAATCCAAATTGTGGGCTCGCATCCGCCATGCTGTGTGATGGGAACTGTTCAACTGATGTCTTTCACAAATTACAAACAGGACGACCACGTGGTGCAACCCTCAACCATCCTCAACCCCTCCAAAAACAGAAAAAAACAAGCAGGGCCTTCAAAGACGGACTGATGTGGGGAAAAAAAACACTTTCGTAGCCAGCTACTTTCGAGCCAGCCGGCTACTTGACATCAATTCTCCAAGAGGTCGTGTAGTGCTAGTGCAGGATCACCCAAGAGTTTTGCGGATGTGAGTACTGATGGAATGACGACTAAAAACGGCAGGATGGATCAACAGGTCAAGCGGTCAAGTGTTCAGGTTGAGTTGACTAAGGTAGATTCTGATGTGCGAAACCCGAGGTTTGTACACATTCGACATGCGAAAGCTGAGTGCTGCTACTGGCCGACACTGGGATCATGTCATGGCTGTCCTCGACGTGGACTACGCACCAAATGGACTTTTGGCAAAATTGGTTGGCAGAACCCACCCGTGCAGAACCCACCGCGGACGGGCGATCACTCACGACCGGGGAACCGTGTGGAGTTTGACGACCGTCATTCCCTTCAAGCAATTGATAAAAGACTTCATAGACTAATAGCAATGGCCTCCAAAAAAAAGCAATTTCAATAGCAATGACCAACCTACTAGCGATGGCCTCCAACTTTTTCCCTTCAAGCTGAAATTGATTGTTGTGAATGGCAAGGTCAAGAGTTTGTATCCGCGAGCTACGACAATACAGTGAGACTATGGGATGTCAATTCTCAACGTTCAAAAGAGGCCGTGTCGATTGAGAGCTTTGCAAGATAACTGTTTGTTTCATTTGCATGTCAACACAGTAAACCCCAGAATGCGTGGCATCCGATAATCGACAAATTGAATTCCTGATCTTCTCACTCTTCTCACAATTTCTTTGAACAAAGTTTTGACTCGCACTCACTTGTGCAGGTGTACCATGGCAAACGTATGCAGTCGCTTGGAAGAACATGAAGACAATCTTCAGCATTTCCTGGGCTTGTGGTGCAGGAAACAACACTTGAAAAAATCTTGCTTTGTTCTTGTCTTTTTCACATCGATCCTTTATCAATAGGCGAAAGTGCTGCCAGTAGACCAACAATGCTTATTTGCCGGTCAACCTGAAAAGGTACTGCTTGATATGAAGGATAGTTGATATGAAAAACCACTGGCGGCGACGTACTCGTACGTCGGTCTAAGTCGGTTCGGTCCCCTGTCACTTCTGGCAGCGAACCAGGCGAGTGCTTTGTTGCCACTACACTCCTGATGGCAGATTTGTCCTTTCCGGCTCGGAGGACACCAACATCCGTGTTTGGAAGGCAGCGCTGAGATGCATTTCTGACGTTCCCAGACTGGTTGGTTCACAGCCGCTTCTTTCAACATTTGAGTCTTGAGTTTGTATGTTGTAAGCCTGTAAGCCTGTAAGCGTTTTAGTTCATACATTCCTAAGATGATTTAGAAGTCTCTTCGGGGTTCCGAACGTCTTGAGGCCAAAGCAGACCAGAAGCTCGGTGTGGCAAGTGCTCGCGAGAGCAGAGCTGAAGCGTGGCAGCTCAGTTGATGGAAGCTGATGGCATGTAGTAGATCAAAACGCAAAGAAGCCACACACACACACACATGCATTAAAAACCAATGAACAGAACAAAACTTATCAAAAACAAACAACACGGATCCAAACAAACAACAACCCCCCATAGTCCACTGATTTCCCCTTTTTCTTCGTCCGCAGACGGTCTAGGTCAGCTTCTCCTGTTCCGTGTGGTTCCGCTGGTCCCGTTCTGGTCGATGCACCTTGTTACGTGCGTAGCTACGTCCGTGCCTTGTTCTGAACGTAGCCATGCACATCGGAGGGAATCCTGTTCCTGGTCGGGTGGTCTTCATCTTTGTTGCTTAGACGGCCTCAAGAGCCTCCGCGGTGTATTCCATGATTCGGCATGAAGGTTTTTCTGATGGTGCGATGTTTTCGCACGCTCTGCGAAAACGCGCGAGAGCAGTGATGCAATGCACGCTTTTGCCCAAACAGCTTGCTGTCGGGGTTCTATTGGCTTTCAAAGAGTTGCATCCTGTCACGATAGAATTTCCCCTTTGTCTCCCCAGTGGCATCCTGAAGGGGTAGGATGTTTTCTGTTCCCGGTTGAGTGTTTTCCCTTCCATCGGTGTTTGGGTGTTTTTTTTCTGTTCCGGGTGTGGTGTTTTCCCTTCCCGCTGTGGTGGTTCCCACTTTTGCGGTGTCTTCCCTCCTCGGGTTTGGTGTTTTCCATTTTCATGTTTTGTCTTGTCTTGTGTTGGTATGTATGCAAGACAAGCAAGAAACGAAAGACATGCACAACCAGAAAACAACACCAACTCATCACCAGGTTGTTCTTTTTCACCACATTTTTGCTGAGCGCTTCTCCGTTTTTAGACTGTGCGAGTCTAATTGATGTGCGAGTCTAATTGATGTCGACGTATCAAAAGCAAGACTTCGACGTAGCAGAGCGCTTGTGGACATGTCAAATCTTGGTATGGTGTATAGTGGTCCCCAAAAGATACTGGCACGGTTTCCAATACATTTTTGAGTGGGGATCTACGAACTTCTATCTATGTTTAGGGGTCTATTTTAAGGTCCTGTTAAGTTTGGGTGAAAAACTAATGGTGCTACTGTTGAAAGAACCGGTTGAACAAAGTTCAACAAACCATCACTTCTAATTCTGGTGAGCACCATGCATCTGTGGCACACAGGGGTTCGCTTCGGGGTTCGCTTCCGTTCGCGGGGCATCCATCTATTTTTTGAGTGGATCGTGGGGGCGAACTGGGTTCCTTGGACGCCGGAGGCCTACAGGGAAGTGTTGAAGAAGAAGTTTTCGAAGATGCCAGAAATTGCGAGAATTAAGCGACACAAGTGAGGGACTCAGCATGACTCAGGACAGCACACGAGAGAGAGAGAGAGAGAGGAGAGAGAGACAGAATCGATCAGAGCTTGAGCCCGGAATGGTGCAACTGCTAGTCTGGAGGCATGTGCCCAAGATGGTAGCCCTCTCAGCTTTTTTTTGAGGGCTGAACACACAAAATGAATGCAATCAAAGAACATGTGCGATGATGTCAAAATACTATTGGTATTAACAGATATGCAGCATACTGATTGATCTCAGATCAAATCGATTGGAAATAAGCGGCGCATCATGAAGGAGGCTGGACTCTCTGAAGCAGTTTCTTCCCGTCGGACTCTTCAAAACGAACTCCGTGGAACTCTGAAACCGATGAACTCATATGAACTCTGATAGCACAAACACCATGGTGAAATGGCTCAAGAGATGCCACCAGGCCCGACAACGAAAAGATGCTAACCGGCGGAAGCACTCCAAGCCCGGCACGATGGAGCATGAGCCGATGAAGTGGCTTGGCACAATGGTCCGGGATTGGCATGTCTTTGGGCTGAGAGGTGAACAGAATGGAACAGAATGGAACGCTGATGCACCTTTATCATCTCACAGAATGGACACTTTTCATGCACCTTTATCATCTCATCTCAGCCAAAAAGATGAACAAGCAAGATGCACATCTTGGACTGGAATGGCCTCTGGTGGCCAAACACTTACCGAGCGGAACCCGAACGATTCGTTTCGCACGACCCGGACCTGAACGATTCCGAAGCACGCCCAGGAAGCGGCTCATCGTGAAGGAGTTGGAGTGATCCCGGAACATCCGTGTGGTGCCGCCTCGGCCGAGAGCAAAATGAGACACCAGGATGGAACATGTCCATCGGACCGCATCGGAGTCCGAGAACTGGATGGATCGACCAGGATGGAACAGCAGGCGAACTGCTCGGAGTTCTTGCAATAGTTGGGGGACCAACTCTGAAGCCTTCCAGTGGATGATGTTTGATCCAGCTGATCACAGCCAGCTTCATGCGATCAGGGGATGGCAGTCGTCCAAAGACATGAGCATCGTTGCGCAGTATGGACATCAAAACCAGCCTTTAAGACATGTGACATCAATCGGTCTTCAAGTGACCTTGTATTCGACCAATTAATCTGGACTTAAGCAGCGCCATGCCCGAGAGAATCGCCACTCCCCAATTCCGTCCCTGCGAAAACACCTGTGACGCCATGCCGTCCTCCAGCTCAGCGCCAGCTGGCAGTGCTATTGTTTGGTGACGCGTCGTGAAACGTCCGTGCCGACGACCAAAGAAAAAGGTCGAGCTCAGAAGCTCCTCGAGGTGCCGAGCCGAAACCGTTGAAGTTTTGTTCCGAGGTTCTGCTTTCGACCTCGTGCAGTGCAAACCGAGGTTCCGCAAGGGGCTGCGGCTTCGCGACAATGCGCCGCTGGTGGAGGCCGAAGAAACTCCACAGCCTTTTCCGTAGAACATAGGACCATGTTGGGAGGGAGCAAAAGCTGCAGTCTTGGGTGACCAGTGAAACACCTCCACCCGGAATGTCATTGATAAAGACACTGTGGATGGGCATTTTTCAATCAGCTCGTTATGCGATGTCTTTTTTGAGTGGAAATTCTGCCGTTTGGGTCACAGTTTCTTGGACCCTCCACATCAGAACACCATCAGAACACCACTGGAGGCCTCTAAAGCTGGCGTAAAGCATGTGTGCCACAGCCCCAGTGAATGGATGTGAATGGTTCTTCCCGGTCGGAGACCCTGGGTGCTGGCAGAAACCCGCCGTGATCGATCGATATGAGGCCCGATCTTCGTGATCGATCCACACTTTGGGCCGAAGCACGTTGGCATCAACCGCCACTGGCTGAGAAGAAAGGATGTTTTCTTTGTCGGATTTTTGGGTGTTTTTGCTACTGCGATTCAAGGCTACAACTTCTTGTTAGACTCTTTGAAAGATCTGGACAAGTAACCTGGCAGCTCAGTGCTTGAACTCCACTGAACTCGACACATCTTTACTGGAAATGAACAGATGTGAAGTGATCTCAAGATCATTTGATTGGATCCTTCCCTTTGACATCCCACCCAGGCAGCTGAGCAAGAGATACCGCACGCTTGCCTGCAAGAAGGGGTTTGGTAGGAATGAAGTTGGGGGCAGCCTGCAGATTCCGGGTGCCCTGAGGCAGCCGTTTGATGGTGCTGCGTGGCAAGCCAGAGGAGGGAATGACCGCCGCGAATCCGCCGCACGTCGCGGGTCGTCTTGCCGAAGGTCCCGCAAGTGCCAAGCGGTTCGTCGAAGGTGCAGGTGCAGGTCAAGACCCATGTTTTCGACCTTCAGATTCAAAACAGGTTTTGGTGCCTTTTTTATGCCCTTTTTTATGCCTTTTTCATTCTTATTCCAAGGTAGAACATTCACTTGAAGGGCTGTCCATCGATGCTTGGTGCACTCTAAGACCGACTGCCCTTTTGACACTTGGGGCGCAACATTTTTTTTCTCTTCCTCATCACATAAAGACGAATCTGCAGGCCCTGTTGAAAGACATATCAGTCCACTTACGATTCTACAAGTCCTTTATAGTTGACTCATATCTGACACCTCACAACCTTGTTAGCTGCAACAAGATGCGAAAACATGCGAGATGAAGCAGCAAATGACGGGTAGCTGAGTTCGGATACAAAGACGGGAACCAATTGGACAAGAAGACAGAAAAACCATCCACAGACATCGAAGGCCTAGTCACTCTAGTCCTTAAAGATCAACCAAAACAGTGCAGAAGACCAACCGATGACCTCGTTCTGAGCCATGGAGACTATCACTGAAGAGACTTCAACGATCCTGTTGGACATCCCAGACGACGCAGCGAGCGCAGACGGCGAGAACGACGATGCTTCACCTCTCTCTGCACCTCCAGATGTGGGGGACGGTCCAGAGGAGCTTTGGGAGAAGAGCCCTGAACGGGAAGATTTGGAAGGGCGAAGAAGATCAAAAGATGAAGATCTCAAGGAACGGTGTAGCCAGGGCAGGCGGATTGTCTGTCTTATTGGCTGCCTCGTACTATGTGCGGCACTTTTGTTTCTGCTTCTTGGACTAATTCAGGCAGTCTGCAGACATGAAGCAACGTGAAGCCAATTGTGTGGAAAGCTTTGCAATTGCCTAGGTTGGTAGCCCTCTACTTGTTTCTGCCCGGAATCTTTGGCTGTGTCTATAGGAGAGTATCTGGACGGCAGGCGGCGTCATGTGGTCATGTGGAGATGACTCTGTGCAAGGCAATGTATCAAGCCAATGCTACACTGTTTTGGTCCCAAAATTGGGCACTTAGGGCTTAAGTGACTCTTGGTGTTTACTTTTTTAAGAAGCACACATCGCATTGCTCTGACTTTCTCTGAGGTTCTTTGTTCCATGAACATCTACTTCTGGCGAGGAACTTGCAATGTTGACTTTGATCAATGTATGGCAAGGCTCCCTGACAAAATCCATGCACGGGACAGGGCGGGGGGAGCAGCCGCATTCCTTTCTTTTCCACCAAGGTTGCCAATGGGGGCCAATCAGATCCCGTTGGGCTATTTGCTCTTGTCGAGATCAAGCCTTCCTAGTAGCATCAACCTTACAGGTGGACCTTTTTTCGCGTCGCTGATTGAAAGCAAGACGAGGGCTGAAACACCGTGCACAGCACGCTTCTTTTTTTCCTGCTGGCGGACAGGCTTACCTACAGGTCCTTCCTTTGACTACAAGCTCATCAGGGATGAGGCTAGGAGAGGGAATGATATACATATATATATATATGTTTTGGATGGCTTTGGATTTTGCGATTTTCGTGGTGTCCTTAGACGTCAAGTCGACTGTCACTGATTCTTTTTCCGACGGCCAGGGGCATCAAATGCCGGAGAAATTCTTCTCCGGTGAGTGGTGGCGTGGAAACGAGCATGGGGGTCTTGTCCCTTGCTTAGTGCATCGAAGAAAGCGCGGGCCTTGCCACGAGCTAGCCGCATTCGCCACACTGTGCCGCAAACGCGCCCGGGTGGGGCGTTTCGATCATTCTTTTGCAGGCGTTTTCTGTTTTTGTTTTTCAGGTGCACAATCCATACTACTGGAGTGAAGTGGAGATCTGGCCCATGTCCATCGGAATGGGCATATCCGAGCAGCAGTTCTTTGGCTTAACTTCTGTTTGCCGTCATCTCTGAGAGTTTGATTGTGACCGCAACAAAAATCGCTTGCTACAGAACGTGCCTGCTCGAGCGAGGGAGCGAAAGGAATCACACATCGGGATGACCGGATCATACCGAGTCACGCAACTCTTCGAGTGTTTCTCTGCTGAGGCACGGTGCCCTTCGCAAAGCTCTCGAGGTGATCTTTGCGGCGCCGCAAGACACAGGTCGTGGCGCGACAGCCGGCGCGACAGCGGCGAGACGGTGTGGGGTTCGGAGCGCGGCATCCGGAGCTGAATTTCCTTTTTTCAGCTGTGCAGGCTGGATTCGAGCTGGACTTCATCAATTCTTCAAGGTGAGTTTCTCTGCCGAGATGTGCTGCAGCCTTTGCAGAATTTTGCCAAATCCATCAATGTTCAAACAAATCCGAGGGAAGATTCTGTAGCATGGACTGCCTGCAAATGAACCAAAATCCCACCCAAAGGGTTCGGTTTTGCGTTTTCGGCGCCCGTTTTCGCCGCGGATTTGACCGTCGCACCAGGAGAGAGCGGAAGTCGGGCGGCTCACCACGGAGGATCTCCACGCGTGGGTACACCAGGCGGAGCCGGGAGAAGCGGAGAGAAGCGGAAGTCGGGTGGAGCCGGGCGTGTCATACGCGAGGGTTTTCGAGCGTGAGCATACTGCGTGTCGCCGCAGAGCAGTGATTGTACTGGAGGTGTTGATGAATACCACCTTCGGGCGGAAGGTGGACTTTGAATATGCCAAGGAGTTTGTGAGAGCAGCTTGGCCGGACACGCAAAACTCTTCAGTGTTCATGATCTTGTTTAGCTACTTGGCCAAGGTACAACGTGACTTTCTCACATATGGCACCGTGAGCACCTGGGCATCAAACATGTTGTGAACACACAACGGCACGTGACGGTGTTGCGCGGCACGGTACGCCCTGCACCAGGTCAGCTGGTTCCGGAGAAGATGTACTCGACGATGGGCAGCTTCTTCAAGATGCCACAAACGCGAGATGCTATTGCTGCCTATGTCCGGAGCTATGTTCCTCTCATAGAGGAGACTCAGCTGCAGGTTTGGAAGGAGAAGCATTGACCATGCGATCATGCGACCATGCAACCCCCGCAGTCCGTGTCATGCAACCCCGTGCAGTCAGACAATTTGCACGAATGTTTCGAGGAAAAGTGGGCATGGAAGCTGAAAGGGCAAAATTGTGCGCCATCCAAGAGTTGTACCACACAACTTGCCAGTATGTTTCTTGGAAGGGCGAGAGATCGCAAAGTAAGTCTATTCATTTGCATCAGTTGCGTTTGATGACCTCTAAAATTCAATAATGTAAGGCTGCTTGACAGCATGCTCTCCACTGGGGGGCATTTCTTACCCTTTGGAGCTTCAGTTGCATTAGACTCAGCGAACTCCTCACAGCTCTTGGCTGCTTCGAAGCCCCTCCTGCTGCTCGTTGCGAAGCAAGGAATCAGATCCGGCCTGAGCATCTTGTATTCGAATTCCTCGTCCAATCCCACCGGTGGACACACGCTGATCGCCGGGAAGGAGCTGGAGTTCTTTTGGGAGTGCTCTGACGCAGACAAGGGTCTTGCCAAAACAGCAAATCCTTCCCTTTGATACATCCATCCACATGACAGAGAAAAGTTGTATAC